GGTAAGCTGAGGTCAAGGGATCGACCCCTGGGATCTGCATCGGCTACTGCCAAAGGTGAAAACTGTTTCACCGAAGGCATATCCCGACCAGTTGCAAAATTGTCTAGCAATAGGCGCGCAGTGCAGCCGGACCGCCAAAAGAGCCCGACCCTCATAGAATTTCCCCTACTTCTAGACTGCCTACCGAACTACAGGGCTGCCTCCCGGCGTAGACCTACGACCTACGGGCTCAACCTGTGGCCTACTGCACCTAGACTGAAAACAGGGGAAAAGCAACCAAAATGGCCAAAAGAAATAACGATCTGAAAATTTACAGAAATGTCCCTGTGGTACCCAATTGGGCACGAGCAGCAGGTGGGCCCCTCAAGCATCAAAATTTCAAAACTACCCTGCGTTGGTGTACAGCCCGCCGATAACTGTAATTCATTGCAGCTTTATCCTCCCTCTTTCTCCCTCTCCCTGCCTCCTGACCCCGTTGCAATATTCTTCCCACACACCTATTTTCTCCCTTACTTCCTCTGGTGATCTACAAGCTTTCTACGGCTCCCCTTCATGCCGCTCCATTCTCCTACCTGTATTAGGACACTATCCCCACGTTCTTTCCTCCTTTCTCCTCCTATCTGCTTCCGATGGAACACTTTTCCCACACTCCCATTCCTGCTCCCATCCATTAAACAACCGTTGACCCTTATCTTTACCCTCTTGCAATGCCATTTCCGCACCCCACAGCAACAGGCAGAAAAAGTGTTAACAGCAGACATGGAGATAACACTATGAAAATTCAACAGAAGTAGAGAGAGTGGGGCAATTCGAGTTTCCGAGCGTTGTTCACAATAGCACAATACCACACTCCTAGTGGTTCCGAAGAGAGGTCTAATTGAGTCAATCGAATTGTCATCCCCAAAATGCTAAGCAGGCAGGGGGGCAGGCAGGGAGAGATGACGGCGAGATGGGGAGGCGGCGGGCTAGATGTGGGGGGAAGGGGCAGACAGGAGGACAGATGGCAGGAAGACAGGGGATACATGGCCAGAAATGGTGGCAGCACTAAATTGGGATAGCCACTGGGAGGCATCGCAGGAGTCAAGGTATTGGCAGGCATCTCTCTCTATCTCTCTCTCTTTCTCTCAGGGGGCCAGCATCAGCAGCAGCAGGTGAAGGTGGAGGAGGATGAAAACAAGAAACCCTTGTGGTCTTCCTAGTCTCAGTATAAGTGTGATGATGGCCTTTCCCACACTCTACCAGAGGCTGAGAGATGCTGGCAACCGAGACAGAAGGTCGGAACGGAGAAGGATGAAATAGAGAAAAAAGACATGGCGGAGGAGAGAAAAAAACATGAGCACCCTTGTAGTCTTTCTAGCCCTAGTGTAAATGTGATTATGGCGGGACTCTTCCAGAGTGCTGAGGGATATTGGTGTCAGAGGCATGGGGATGAGGTGAAGGAGGATAACGAATGACCATGGCAAAACAAGACAGAAAGCAAAAAGGGAATCAATGAAGAGAGAGAAATGAAATCACTATAGCCTCCCGCTCCCCGTTTTCCTCTCCAACTTCTTGATGTCAACGTCCTCATACTACTACCCCCCTCTCATCATCACCATCATCATTTAATCTCCCCTCCACCTCCTCTTCACCCTCCCTTGTTATCTCTGAGTCATAATTGCTTCTCTATCCCTTCCATTCCTGTGCTCTCCTGAAGAGGAGAGTATATTGGCCTCCGAGGCTTGCACAGGGAACTGTATATTCAGAGGCCGACTTGGAGAAGGATGCCGAGGAGAAGAAAGAAGACAGATGGGGGGGGAGGAGCATGGTGAAGCAAAAGAGAGTAAAATTTCATAATGAGAAATAAAAATGAAACCACCATTGCCTCCTACCCCTTTCCTGATCCCGCTTCTTCCTGTTATCAACAATCTCATATTCCTACCTACCCCTTCTCCTCCTCGGCTCACAAAGCAGTTCTCTGGTGATTATTCTCTCCTTTTCATATTCCTAACTACCCCTTCTCCTCCTCGGCTCACAAAGCAGTTCTCTGCTGTTTACCTCTTTCCTTGTGGCAGAATATACATGCTTCTAGTACAGACCGCCATGCTCTTGGCAATTCATGTGCTCGCAGGATTTAAAATGGAAAAAGAAAAAAGATATGAGGAGAATATAGAGGATGACGCATGCAGGGGAAAGACTGTGCAAGTGGGGACGGGAAGATGGCAAGAGGCGGAGAGGAGGCGGAACAGACAGGGGGCGAAGCAGGGGAGGATTGCGATCTTGTAATCGAGGATATGGCAAAATTGAAGGAGGGCCTCGCTGGGCCATGCCGTGGGGCCACGAATGTGACGCAAACACATTTATTGCCGAGCATGGCTTCTGCACAAGGATGACAGAAATGGAGAGTTCTCCTCGATGCAGAGCGGCTCCTTCGACGAACAAAAGGCGGTCTGACCCCTGGTGGCTCCAACATCAATTTAGAGAGCAGCACGCTGCTCATGGTTACCCTTTTCCCCCCTACCCCCCCCTACCCCCCTCTCTCTGTCTCTGTGTCGTAAGTACAAAGCACCGAATTCATGAAGCACACAGAACGAAGCACATAAGGAGAGAGAAAAATGAGAGAGGACACAGAGAGATGACCGAGAGGAAACAGAGAAGAGAGAGCGTGCACAGCGAGAAAGGAGAGATAGAGGAGAGGGAAAGAAGAGAGAGGAGAAAAGTAAAGAGTGAGATGATAGAGGAGGCAGGAGAGGAGAGAGAGCACTACAGTACGTCACGTAGGACGCATAGAGTAGCGGAGGGCAGGTTACATACAGTAGGTCACTTAGGGAGCTACTCCAGAGCGCTCGCACAGTCGGTCCCAGACAAAGGCAAGTGTAATGCAGTGTACACAGAAATAGTCCTTCCGTAATAAACAACACCTTGAACACAACCAACAAACGATCAACCAAGAAGTCCCTATGTTCAAACAGGTCTTGTTCGCATGACAATCTGGGCCGATCGCATGATGGACATCGCAGATCGCAGGCTGATCGAAAATTCTGACCGGCCCACTATCTAGGCCATCCGTTCACACGACCAGTGAAGACGTTGGCCAGTCAGCGAAAATTCTGATCACCAAGCTATCCAGGCCATCCGTTCTGACGAACAGCCCATATCGAGGGCTTATCAGAGTTTTTTCTGAGTGGCCTGCATGCACTGTTCGCAAAAACGGTTGTGGTGCAATCCGAGCCATTCTCTAATAGGACTCTACTTGAATCAGAAACACTAGCACGACTCCAAAAGATAGTGGGTGAGCATCACTGGACAACTTAGGAGATTCTTGTCTTCAACCGTTTTTGAAAGGCTCAGCATGATAGATAGTGATTCTTTTGGAAAAGGAAGAAAGAGAAGGAATATGATGGTACACCTCAGAACCACGATTCCTCAACCGGTTCTCTGTGACCGCTTTTGCAACGCACGAGGAAATCGGACAGCAAGGTATGGCTGAGAGGAGCAACGTGGAAGTCTCACTGATATGAGACACAGGAGCAACAGCTGGTAAGGAGGAACACAGGTAAACCCTTCCTGGCTAGGAAGCAATCAATGCGGATGTCTCATGTCACGAGTGAATGCGCATGTAAGGGATGCTGGAACTGAAGCGCCAATACAAAATTACTCTGCTGTTCAAGAAAAAAMAGCGCCCATACTGCGATGCATGTAGCCCCATCATTTCCTTAATTTTGCCAGGAAGCATGAGTGAATACGCATGTAAGGGATGCTGGAACTGAAGCGCCAATACTAAATTACTCTGCTGTTCAAGAAAAAACAGTGCATACTGCGATGCACGTAGCCCCATCATTTCCTTAATTTTCCCAGTTACCAGACTCACCTCGCTCAGTCCAATGCCCAACCGTTTTCGCTCAGCAAGGCATCTCTTATGGAACTTCACATACCTGCAAAACGAGAGAAACCAGGAAAAACGTAGCAGACACCAAGCTCATTTAGGGAAAACAGATCGTTCACAAACTTCCAGAGAGCCCATACAGAACATCCTGCAAGAGGTAGGATGCCGGTATAAGACGAAAACACAGAGTTGCAATTGATGTCTCCTCGCTGTCTCAATTGTGTGGGGAGCCGGGGGCGAGGGGATCGGGGGGATCGGGGAGAGAGAGATAGAGGAGGGGGAAGGGGAGGGGGGGAGCGGGAGAGAGGAGGAGAGACATGTAACACCGTGAGACAGCCCGCTCTGGTATGCAAGGGATGATTGGAGAGGAGGTTTGCGGGACGTGGGGGAGAGACACACAGTTACAGAGAGAGAGATACAGAGAAACGCACAGAGAGAGACAGAACTTCAAGGAGAAGATGATGCGTATTCAAATGAATAAAACCAAAACATTCAACAGCCTTCCTGATCTAATGACCCGCCAAAACACAGACTGAGAACACTGCTAATTTCTGGGTTTTGTTTCTGCAGATTCCTGCATTCTGCAGAGTTTTCTAAGTCTGTGTGTGTGTGTGCCTGCTGGTATGCGTGCCTGTCTGAGTGCTTGTCGGCCTGAGTGTGTGTGTGACCCGCAAGGGTACTTGTTCGTTTGGAGGCCCCGCAGGGCAGGTACTTACCAGTGGCCGTGGCTTTTGAGGGTTGCAGCAGGGAAAAACACTCAAGTAGCAGGTAGGTCGGTACCACTCGAGTAGTAGTAGATGTGTCGGGAGCAGAAGAAGACAGACAGTTGGCATTTTTAGAGGCCCAGTAGCGGTAGGCTAGAGGAAGGGCGGTACCAGTCCAAGTAGCCCGAGTCTAGGGCCTGTACGGACGATATCAGAGCCTGCAATGATGTTTCCCTCCGAGAGGGAGGAGGTATCGGTTGCTTGGAGGCCGCGAGGCCTGGGAAGTCACTGCACAAGAGGAAAGTTGGCCGCTATATCTCCAAGTCGCTCTTCCTCACTTGAGGTGTGCAAGCTTGGACGACATACTGATTGAGCAGGCACTGGACTCAGAGTTCTGCCTGAGAGGACACAGAGGAGCTGGGCGCTCAGCCTGCCTATGGTGAGCAGCCCGGCTTGAGGAGAGGAAGAAGGGGGGGAAGGAGGAAAGTGGTGAGGTACCTACCTGGATATGGTGGACACCATCTTCATCACCGTGTTCGGCGCTTCATCTGGAAGCCCCCCGTTGTGGTAGTGCCGCACCAAGGAAGCTTCGAGGCAGAGTCAGGCATGGCGTCCGAAGAGCAGTGACCATAGCTGCTTTGAGTTTGCACAGGAGGGCAGAGACCTTAGTAGTCCGTCATAGCCTTGGCATGTGAGAGAAAGGTGAAGAGGGAAGCCATGGCTATGGTGGACCTATTGTCGTGCTGGCAGTAAGAGGGAACTTTGGATATTGATTCTGGGTCAACCACTCATTATTATTATTCGGGAGAAGAATAAGATTGGCAAAGACAAGGAGGAGGAGGACGGTGGAGAGAGAAGGGGGATTTGTCATTGGTCGCGCTGGTGTACTACTACTTTCTCTCTTGTTCTTTGGACTCTATCTCTTTGCAAGTGCTTTCATTTCTTTCGCAATTGAGTGGCAGTCTTTCATTGTGAATTTGCAATTCGGAAATGACCAGGATCGTAACATTGACAAGGTTTTGGAACTGAACATCAGAGTTTGCCTGCTACCCGATTTTCTTCAGTAAACCACCAGTCCAGGCCCAAAAATGCTGTGCTGCGGGACGACGTGGAAAGCTTTGGCCTAGCCAGCCCAGAGCAGGTACTCAGCAGGTGCATAAAATCTTTTGAGTACTGCAAGGAAAATGAGCAATAGCAAAATGACAGAATTCCAAATTGCAAAATCACATTGAAAGCCAGATAGTCGTAAGCTGTAAGCAGAAATACACTGATAGCGCACCGAAGGAAAACCGAAGCACCAAACTGAATTGTCAATGAGAGCACTCTCTCGCCACCACCAACAATGTAACCAGAGCCCTTCCTCCTACTGGGCGCTCAGCGCCCAGACTACAATCCTACAGCTACTACGCTAGCCTACTCAAGGGACAAAGCAACCAGTTGACATCAGCAGCAGCAACCAAAGTACATGCAGATGTCGCTCATGCAGACCTCAACGGCGACCAGATACATGACCTCCCATCACTCCCCACTTGCTTTCAATATGCTCACCCTCGTCTTCTCCACCCACGTGTTTCCCCTGCCGTAGGACCACGACCATACCCCACCAACTATGTCTGCCCAGCCCGGCTATGGCTGCCAGGGCTACGGCGCTGCTCACCAACAGCGCCCTCGCTTCACCCTGCGCACGAGTGCTGCTCGCTAGCGGCCTTCAGTGCACTATACAGCAGCACTGCTGCCCAAACTTGCTAGTGCCCCCATACTCTGCTCACGGCCAGGCACTTTGCTATATGCAAAGTGGCCTGCTCTGAAGGCTGCCTGGACTGGCCATGTGTGTGCCCAGTAGCTTCAGTCTGGGCCAGCGTATCTGCACGCAGACCCATTCAGACAGTGGCCTGAGCATGCAGCAGTTAGGCGTGGCCAACCACCCAGCGCCTGATGAGGTGTTCCCCCCTTTCTGATTGGCCCAGAGGCCAGCTTCCAAGTCAGTAGTTGAAGAGCCTAGAAGGCTCCCTGCAATCAGACTCGCTTTCACTTCCACTTTGCAGACATGCAAACAGATGGCAATTCACACTGGCACAAAGCGCCCACTCAAAGCTCAGAGATATGGACACAAGAACACAGTTCAGATGCAAATACACTTCGAACAGGCTATGGCGCATCGGCGCCTGCACATCCCAACCTTTGTCCCTGTGTCTAAACTCCACTGTTCGCACACACTCACTCCCGGACCTTCCGGAAGTCGATGGACTTGGCCTCTTGAATACGGTAGCAGCTACGACCTTGACCTTTCAGGACTGTAGCAGCTACGACCTTGACCTTTCAGAACATCTACAGCTACGACCTCTACAGAGCCGTGACTCCTATTTGACAGACCTACAGATCGAACCCCTACCACTACACACACCTACGACGGACAACAAACAACTACCAAAACACAGGTCACGGGTTCAAACACTCAGGGGTCGACTTGATACTGTACATGGGTAAGTAAGGTCTGGGAATCGAGCCCTGGAATCTGCATCTGCCTCTGCAAAGGCAAAAACCATTTCTCCCCCGCCGGCCTAAATTCGAGGTCCTCCAAGAATACTTCAGTCTAAGGCAGAAGTTCTGTTCGCATGAACCAGCAGTCGTCTTCTGGCTCTTGAAAGGAAAATCTAACTTTGTGCTGTTTCTGTGGATGACCTCTACCTCCTGTCCTGAAGACGTCTTCACCTACTATACCATAAATGTCATATCTTCCATCAATATCTAGAGGAATCATAGATCTGCGTGATGGAAACTGTTGACTTGTGACGCAAGGCAACGCTTTGACGCATGGAACACTGGGTAGGTGTGGAGGTGTGCTGGGATCTCAATAGTATAGGACGGTCCGTCCTCTCCGCCCTTGACTTCTAGAACTGGCCACGGTCCTCTATATGCAGGTAACAACTTCTGTGAGATGTTCTCCTCAGGAGCAAACTCTTTTGACTTGACCCAGACTAAGTCGCCTACTTGAAACTGTGAGGGGCGACGGTGCTTGTTAGCTTGCTCTATCATCCTGTGCTGGGCTTTCCCAAGGTTGTCAACAACGGTAGCTATCTCTTTCCCGTGCTGTATCGCAAACTCTCGTGTACCGGGCGGTAGCCTCTGAATCTGTTTAGTTCGTTGGGAGTGTGACACGTAGATAAGTGCACGCTATTATTGTAGGAAATGGCTACCTTTGGGAGCATCTCATCCCAGTTGATCTGATCGGGCCTATTTTACATCCTAAGAACTTGCCGCAGGAGCTTGTTCATCTGTTCAGTCTGACCGTTAGTCTCTGGATGACGGCCAGATGACATCAGCAACTTTGAACCATAAACTTCCCTGCCAGTTTTGACTGGTGAACCTGGTATCTCTGTCACTAACTATCGACAGCGGTATACCATGCTCACTGACCCAATGGTCGAAAAACTTCTGAACTACTAAGTCTGTGCGTGCCTCTGTAGGCAAAGGAACAAAAACTGCATACTTGCTAAATCTATCTATTATGACCATGACCTCTCTTGACCCGAGTGTCCATAAAGTCAATGGACACAGAATCTCCAGGTCTGTCAGGAATAGGCAAGGGTCTGAGAAGACCTAACGGGGCACGCGTAGAAGACTTGTTTCGCTGACAGACCTTACAACTGCGGACATACCCTATGCAGTCGGCCTTCATACCAGGCCAGATGTACGCACGCATGAGGTTGGCTAGTGTCTTTTGCCAACCAAAGTGTCCCTCTGTGTCATGGCATTCCCCTACGATCAAACTACCTCTTCACTGTTGGGAACGCACAGGCAGTCAACTACATTAGTCTTCTCCAATAGTAAGCCATCAGTAGTGCAGTAGTCCGGTTCAGACTCTGAGGCCTCGCAAACTATCTTGAGGAGATCACTATAGATAGGGTCCTGTGCATATGCCTCTCTAACTTTCCGCTGTAGGTCTCTCCCTATATCCAGATAGTGAACTAAAGTAATCAGCTCTCCTACTCAGATCGTCCGCTACTACATTGTACTTCCCTTTGACTGGCTTAAGTTCTGAAACGGTATTCACCAGTTCGTAGTAGCTGATGCAGATCCCAGGAATCACTCCCTAGTCCCCACCTGACCTGTGTACAGTACCTGTGTCGACCCCTAGAGTTGAACCTGTGACCTGTGTATTTGTAACAGTGGTAGACTGCCGTAGGGTCCAGAGGTCGCAGGGGTTCGATCTGTAGACCTGTCGAGTAGGAGTCCCAGTCAGGTCTAGACGTTGTAGCTGTAGGGGTCTCGAAGAGTCAAGGTCGTATCTGCTACAGTCCAGAAAGGTCAAGGTCGTAGCTGCTACAGTACCGAAAGGCCAAGT